TCAGGTAATCCGTCTGCTCGATTACTGGCGTATCACGTAAAAAAGAGTAATTATATGTGATATTAAATGATTTATAAAGAGAACTGAATCATCTGCTACTTTCATCTCCGCATTACCTAAAGGTCCATTGGAAGAAAATGCCTAAGACATTAAGTCCAGCTGTACAGATTCTTGTACTTAGTTTAATAAATGAATAAATATTTAATATTATAGTCTCGAGTCAGTTATTTAGTACCCAATTAAATTGTGACTCAGATGATAGCAAAGTTTCCTAGAAAATTATTTTTAATTGCTACTTTTTCGTGTCGTTAACCCATAGTGCAATATATCATTTCTATGACGGGACGACTAACGAGATTGTTTTTTTAAATTGACAGCGTTTTTAATGGTGTTAAAGAACTTTGCCCTTATTAAAGAACTTTATAACTGGCATCGGTAGGAAAAACATACGTTAACAAACATAATCACGAATAAATAATTGAAGTTAAGACAAGTTTGTAATAAACTCTAGCAACTGCAATCATCAATCCTGCTATCCTTATTATTTAAATACTTTTTACACACATGTTTCACAATGGCGGACTTAATTTCTAAGGCATTTTCTACCAGCCTACCTTAGGGTGATACAGAGACAGGTCATAGTAGGTGCAACAACTATTAAAGAGCAAGAGCTCATTCAAAGTTCTTTATGAAAAAAATTACTTCAGATATTCTTAATTCTTGACTTTCGACTTCCAGATCAATGATACTGAGCAGGCGCGCGAATGATGATGACTCCCGTGATGGGTTCACCAAATGGCCGTTCATGACTACACACACTTGGGGAGAATATCCTCAGGGCACCTGGGTTTTGGAAGTAAGTTTTTCACTTATTAATTCTTAACAAAATGCATAGCTACTTATAGTGTTTTTTTGGCTTTTTGATGGCGTCGATAAACATTATTGCCAATGACGTTTTAGAAAACCAATGTTAAGTTTTAGAAGACCACCCAATAGCAATGTTAATATTGCTATTGGGTGGTCTTCTAAAACTTAAGATTTAGAAGTTCAAGTCATAAAATCGGCAAAGGTCACTATTGCAAAAGATAAGCTGCGTATACTTTTGGTGAGGTGACCCTTTTTCGTTAGGGGAAAAATTTGAAATCTCTCGCCCAGGATGAGGCGGGAAAGAGTGTTATACTCTTATGGACTAAAAGCAACCGGGGTTTTAGTCTCGCCTTCGCCTTCTCCTGCTTCAGGCCGAGGCCGCGGTTTCTAATTGCGCTTACCCCGCAACCCCGGCTAAACACCGGGCACGCTACTATAGCAGCGGTAAGACCCCTCTTTACTGTACGTTCGGGTCTGGTTCTAGTCGGGTGACGAGCTACCCTTGCTCGCCTTCCGCAGACCCGCGCTTACATGACCCTGCAGCAATTTTCATATTCTCTTCTCATTCCAGGCTCGTTACAACGGTGGTCCAAACAGCAACGCAGGCGACTGGTCAGGGTACTTCCGAGGCTGGTCCCTGGTACTCCACGGTACTAGGGCACCTCCCTACGCCCAACTCCAGCCCCAAGACCCCCACTCAAAGCTCGCCGTCGTCAAGAAGGCGCACGAAGACAATGCTATCAACTAATATATAGGAATTAAACCAGGTTTTTATCACTAATCAGGGTTTGCTAGTTGAAAGTTTTAGTTTAGAATATATTTTTAAATTTGGTACAAAGTTTGTAGAAAAAATTTATAGATTAATCGTCTTGGAGTTGTCGACGTAGTTTGAGTTTTATTGTAGTATCTATGAGAGTTTATTTACATTTGACAGAACCTTACTAGTGTTCTCTGGCATAGGGTGGATTTTTGGAAGTCATATATATCAATATATTGAACTCAACAAATGGCTTCAAACTAAACTGTCATATAGAAAGAAAGAGTTCCTTTAAGATCTCTATTTAAAAACTTCTCTGCCACACTCTGTTTGATATTCAAAAAGACCGCGAAGGTAACGATTAAATACATTTATTAGTGATCGGATATAGAAAATAACTAATTATTTCCAGCCGATGACCTAAAATTCATATGCAAGCAACTGATCAGTGAAGAAAACTTGGATGCAAAAAAAGTAGGTACAACATTTATACTGCAAAGCATTAATGCAACTTAGCTTTTTTAAAAATAAAATCTTTTAAACTTAAAACACAACAAAATTACAGATTGATTAAATATTTAATGGCTTTGTAATAAATGTTGTGCCAACAAAAAAACTCGAGCGTCTGTTAAAACTTATGTATTTTTGTACATAACTTTCACAGAAGCAAAAAATAATTGTTTTTATTTTAATTAAGTATTTATTTTTCTTCGATAATTTATTTTTATTGGACGGTAACTGCGTTATTATTTTTAAAATATTTATATTGCTTAAAATCATTTTATTGCTTGTAATTGTACCTATATCTTATTTGTTAATCATAAATAAATTTATGGACTGTTACCGTTTACTACTATTTATTACATAAAAAAGTTGCAATTTTTATTCAAATTATTTGTTTAAAAAGGGAATTGATAGGTTGGATTAATTCCTAATAAATATTATGATTTAATTCTATTTTTCACTATCTGAACTTACTATACCTAACTGAAATATGTAAATTGTTTTTCTCTATTTTCAAACCATAAAATACTTCATGTTTGATTAATTTTGAAAATTGTTCTAGTCATTTTGTTAAACTTTTAATATTGTTGATAGTTAAAATATTATATTATTTTTATAACATAAGGTCGTAAGACCCAGTTTCATTAGAAAAATGAAATATGATTTTTTTGACATTAAAGATTGGAATGGCGTTATTTTTATAATAAATTTCGCAGTAGATTGTAGAAAATATTTATTTTCTATGAATTTTGTTCATCTTCTTTGTAAATCTAGAACTTACATACTGACGGACATATCAGGTAACGTCATAATACCGTACATTTGACACAAAGTATCATCAATTTAGTTTCATAAAATTAGAAGTTGAACAAGATTTATTATAGAATAGATACATTTTTATTCAGCATTTAAATAAATTGAATTTATTGTAACCAAATTTAATTTGTCATAAATATTTTTATTTTTTTGTAGTTAACGTAGCAAATTTATTTATTTCAAATTAATATGTTTGTATTTTTTTATTAAAGTCAAATGGCCTTTATTTAACCCAGCTAAATAAAGTTCATTTGAATAATTTTGCGTTAAATAATAATGCGTGTCGAAAGGCACACATGTTAGAGTATTTACAAAGAAATATATTAGAAGATTATCGTTATCAAATAAGATTATAATAAAGCTATTTATATAACGACATGGTTATAAATACTTCCTTTGGGGGCCCACAAACACTGAAAAGTAAATCAGCCTCTTTGCATCTATTTTCTTAAAGAATAAAATTTATTATTAAAATAAAAGTTTATAGCATTTTCACTTCCATATTAACCAAGTAACATTATGTATTTACATTTATGGGCATAACCGTAGGATTAATACAAAATCGTTAGGATATTGGTTAAGAAATTACAAAAAAAAACATATAAAGAAAAATATATTATGTACTACTATTATAGAAAATATAATGTGATTTGGTGTTGTATTTGAATTAAATGATGTTTTTGTAATTGCTACTCCTTTCCCTTTTATAGTTTTTATACGAGGTTTTTCGGCAGTATTTTTCTTATATTTGAAAGCAGTGTAGTGTAGCAACAAAAAAAGAAGAAAATTGTTTCCATAGTCTTTGTTTTGATACGAACATTCCGTTTGATTACAATAATGAAATAAACAGTCCGTGACAGCCCTCTACTGGGTAATAAAAGTTACAAATGAGAGCATCCTTCATTTCCACAGATAAGGATTGCAGTTTAGAAAGTTCAGCTAGGTTTATTAAATACTACTTAGTGTTTGAAAAGCAGTGTCAGACTCATACTGACAGACAAAACCATCCTTTTTCTATTTCTCAATTCTGGCTTTTTTATTTTTGGTGGGGGGGGGGAGATCTTTAAATATCTTCTCTCGCCCAGGGTAAGGTAGAGGGAGGGTCAGACTCTTACTAACTAAAAATCCCCGTGCCATCCGCCACTGCAGGCCGAGGTCGCAGCACCTTTATGCACTACACTTAAACTTACTTACATACTACCACTTATTCGTCAAAACATGGAAAAATAAAACAATGGAATCATTTTAACATTTATTTTTCATTAACAAATGTATCGGGCAGTTTGTTTATTTTACAAAAGTTATAACTATACACAATGTAATGGAATTAAGTACAAAATCTATTTATTACACTATATACAAATATGGAATTATTATATTTTTGTCTTGATTAGCCGTCTTAGGAAAATCAAAAAGATAAACACGAAAGAGTCAAGGTATTTTAATTAACACTTTATCAAGAAACAACATAGTAACGAACTTTTTACTAAATACAGATTATAAATTTTATAATCTTTTAAAGTACTAGCGACCTGCCTGGCTTTACACGGGTGTAATACTGATACTAAACCTCTCTACTATTTAATGGATTTTCTTATACAAATTAGCTTTCCTCTTCAATCTATCTATCTATTAAAAAATCGCATCAAGATTCGTTGCGTAGTTTTAAAGATTTAAGCGTATATAGGGATACAGGGACAGAGAAAGCGACTTTGTTTTATACTATGCAGTGTAACAGTAGACCCGTTGGTCTAAACAATCTTGATAGAAGGTTATAGAAGACAACAGCTCAATGATTATATGAAAATTCTTAGGTTTGAAGTTACTTACTTTTTCTTTATGTAGGTAATAGGTCGGCAAACGAGCAGACGGATTACCTGATGGTAAGCAATCAGCGCCGCCCATGGATACCCGCAACGGAGGAGTTACGAGTGCTTTGCCAACCTTTATTTGGAGATTTAGGGATTGAGGAGCGATTGGGGGAGGCGAAGGATTGGGCCTCCGGTAACCTCACTCACACGGCGAGACACAACGCTATGGTTGTTTCACGCCGGTTTTCTGTGAGGCCGTGGTATCACTCCGGTCGAGCCGACCCATTCGTGCCGAAGCATGACTCTCCCACACTTAGATATACTGCTTTTATTTTAAACCATAGGTAAATGTGAAATAATTTAAATAAAATAATATAAAGAATTTTAAGGGACAGCTTATCTTTTTACGGGATATCACATCGGGTATTAATTTATGATTAATTTACTGCGAAAAAATTAATTATCCTACTGCATTTAATATTAGGAATCTGGATTATTATTATGACAAATATATTTTTTTTATGTTTAGGTACACAATTTAATTGAATTGTAACGAATTTCATAGCACTTAATTATTAATAACATAATTAATTTCATACATACATTATTTCGTATGATTTAGCTACCTTATTTTATACAAATTTCATTAAATCAAGGTACAGAAGACTTAATATAATATAAAACATAGAAATACGTACAAAATCGTTCGTCACCGTTTCACTTTAATTCACAGTTTATTTTTAGTAAAGTCACATTTTTGTATGGTCCCATGCAAATTTTTTGTTATTTATTTTTTATTTAATTACTTCCACATTACTAGCCATACAATTGTACGGGCTGTTGTTAATCATCTTTTATTTGTATGAGTATTGTATGGTATCTCACAAACACATTCGTAGAGTTCATGTATGTATTTTTTATTTCGTTGATTAGTAAACAGAGATTGGTCCGTTTAGTGTTGTTGTATGGGCTCATACACCCATCTCGTTGTATGGCCTGCCGTTGTGCATGTCTACATCAACGCCGCGCTCGGATATCCCGTTGAGGCCATTCATGTGCCCACGGGAACTTAACTGTCAGAGGTCTGAAAAAAAGGTTAAATTAAGTTATTAATAAAAATGCTAATGTAATGTCACTTTATAACTTACTTGTACTTGTGGCCAATGTGGCCTTAGCCTGCTTTGACATGAAACCTACCTTAGGTTTCAAATAAAGGAAAATGCAAAATAGTTTTAATATTCAGATGGGCCTAGGATTTATTGAACAAAACGGCTTTCTCAATAACTTCACGTAAGTAAGCCGTCGGCGCAACAAATTAAACGAATCTCATGATAGTTTTTTTTTTTATGTAATATCTCTGCAAACGAGCAGACGGATTACCTGATGGTAAGCAATCAGCGCCGCCCATGGACACTCGCAACGGAGGAGTTACCAGTGCGTTGCCGACCTTATAGGGATTAGGGATTTGGAGATTTAGGGATTGAGGAGGGATTGGGGAAGGGGAAGGGGTTAAAACATAGAAGATAATAATTCATATGTATGTATGGAAATATAAAGGAACAATTGCCCTAAACTAGTATTTTCTTCTGTGTGTGAACATGAATACAATATGACATTGACATCACACCTAGACCCGAAACAACATTTGTGGTTCGCACACAGAGATGGTCCTTGCGAAAATCGAATCCGCGACACATTGTACAGTCCATTGTATCTTTATGCCTAACCATGACGTCAACTTTGATTCCTGTCAACCAGATTCCTGCTTTGGTGGTGATGTATCAATCTTTACTAATATTATAAAGAGGTAATATAGGTGGATTATGAATTGGTTGGCTTTCCAAAAAACCGTCACTTATAGATAGCTTCAATATAAAACATCACGCTGCGATTAAATGGAGCCGAGCAGCGGGTGGAACCACGAGAGAGATAACTGCCTTATAATTATAATTTCACCTACCCATGGTTTCCTGTTGTAACTCTAGTTTGTATGCTGGGTTGTCGTACGGCGGGAGTGACGACTCTCGAGGAGCTGATGGCACAGCTGCAAAAATACCAGATGTTTTTAAAATTTTAACATTCTGTATAGCTGATGATATATGGCCATCATCTAAAGGAGACAGGATGATTTGATCATGACAGGGTAATTTGAAATCGCTTTTCAATGTTATAAACTAAGTTTCGTGCTCGTGCTTTTAAATCGGAATCTACACTTTGGAACGAGCAAATAGCTTCACTAAAAGGACTGACCGACAGACTGACACTTTATATCTTTAATTTTTTTTTTCGACGTTCCAGAGTGCCTGTAACGGTCTAATTGAAATAAAAGATTTTTGAATTTTTGACTTTTTGTTCCTTATTCCCATTTAAAGGTAGACGATAATCACTCAGCTTCTCTCCGTGTGAAAAGTGGTTTCCCAATTTTAAGCTTGTGAATGACGATGATTTCATGGAGCATAAACAAAGCTTTGGATCTGCTTGGCCATTTTAACCAGACCAGATATTTTTTCTTTTATTTTTTTTCTTTTTTTAAAAAACGTTGCCCCACATTACACAGTAGAAAATTGTAATGTGGGGTGCGTTTACAAACATACAATTTCACATGCACATCACACCCAGACCCGGAACAACAATCTGTGGATCACACAAAGAGTTGTTCCGTGCGGGAATCGAACCCACGACACGTTGCGCGGCAGCCAGTTGCCCAGCCACTGCGCCAACCGTGCAGTCTATTTGTTACCTTCTTAGGTTGGGCTAGGTTATATAATGTGTAAAATAAATATACGTACTAGTAATAGGCACGGATCGTGGTCGATGTCTCCGCAGCACCACAAGGAGTAGAAGCAGTGAGGTGAGGGCGCCGAGGGCAGCCACTGCCCCCACCCCAACCAGCGCGCCGTAGTAGTCGCCTCGGTGACGACTGGCCACTGATGATGCTTCTATCTCGTCTGGAAGAAAAAAATACACATATTTAAAATCTTTCAAAAAGTCACCAGTATTACCTTTCAATTATGATAATTCGAGACACAAGAAAAGAAAAGGTTTGATGAATTAAACGAGTTTAATCAATAAGGTTTAGATTTGTTTGCTTTTACGGATAATTTTATTAAATCGAAAAGTTTAAAAATATCTTTTTTGAGGAGGGAAATTCATTATATTATATTAGTGTTACACTGTTCTCACATAATTGAACCAACTGTTTGTAAAAGGAATCTGCATGTAAAACGGATTTAAAAAGAGTAACCATGGAGTTTCTTGCTCGTTCTTCTCCATCGGAATCTACACTTTGGAACGAGCAAAAGCTTCACTAAGAGGGCTGACCGACAGACTGACACTATATCTTCAAAATTTTGTTTGACGTTCAAAAGTGCCTGTAAGGGTCTAATTTGGAATAAATGATTTTTGTCTTTTTTTTTATGATTAAATGTCTTGTCTCGCCCAGTGTATAGCGAAAAGGGTTGTCAGACTCTTACTGGCTAAAAATCTACTACCACTTCGTACGTAATACCACTAGTAACCCGAGCTTATCCCCACCCCATCCGTAAGGTTACGAAGACCTCAGGTCCATTCTTTGATAGCCGCAATAGTTCGAGACTATTCGGGTTTTATACTATTTTAAACAAAAAAATACTATGAACTTGTAGATGGACTTGAAATAAATAATGAACATGAGTGTTCTTAAAGAAAAGCTAATTCGTGTGATCCTATAGTTATACTCAGTTGAACATTTTGCTTTCACAAAAAAACATAGTTCAAATTGATTCCGTATAAAAAACAACTTACTGTCAATAGGCTCAGGAGAATCTTCGTGTTTTGTGTTAATCTCCAAAACATTACTGGTCTTCACTTTACCGTTTGTCAGGAACATCTCCAACCATACACGACACCTGGAAAACATTAAAATGTAACTTTAAAATTGTTGAACCACAGAAATCAGGGTTGAATATCATCTACGTAATACATAGGTTATGGATGGCTAATAGTAATCTGGTAGGCAGGGAGCCGCTGGACGACGGTTGCTTTCAAGCGGCCGATCTCATCGAAATCATTGTAGTAAGCCAAATTTCAGCAGTGACTGATGTTATTATGTGTAATAAGACGACAAATGTGCATAGTGATTACCTGATGGTAAGCCGTCGGCACCGCCCAAACACCCAAAACACCAAATGTGTTACGTGATATGGAGATATTTTTACTCTTATGGAGTTATTTTGCCTTAAGTAATGATAAGTTTCAATTCAGACGCCCACGTGGAACTTCAACCAACATACGTGAAGATATTGTAGGTGTACATAATAAAGATGAGACCATTTAACTCTCTTATCAGTTTTAATACAGTAACGAACAATCGCCAATCCTTTGAAACTTGATATTTTCACTATTTTATTTCATTTTTTATTTAAAAAAAACGTTTAATTACATTAGGAGTTTCTCCTGTTGTTGTTTGCTTTTACATACAATTTCACATACACAACACACCCAGACTCGGAACAACAATTTTTGGATCACACAAAGAGTTGTTCCGTGCGGGAATCGAACCCGCGACACGTTGCGCGGCAGCCAGTTCCCTAGCCATCTCGCCAATCATGCAGTCGTTGACCTTGCCTTGCTTTTAAAGGCAGACACAGCCAAACATTTTGAGAAAGTAAACAAAAATGTACAAATGTACTTACTTGGTGTTAGGCTGTAATCCAGTGAGAGTGATAGCCGGTGGCAGATCTCTGGTAGCGAGACGGAATTCATCCTGTTCTCTTTTCGAACCACAAGCGTGGGCTCCACGATACACACGGACCCAGCGCTCGGCTGGCGATGGAATACCACGCCACCATACTTCCGCAGCTTCAGAACCTACCGTACGAGCCTCGATCGTCACCGTCCAGTTGTATGGGTCTGCAAACAATAATAGTTACATCTTTAGATAATGACCTTTCTATATGAATTGTTAAGATTTGTTTTTGAGTAGATATACGATTTGAATAAATTTAAATGTACTTAGACGATAAGAAAGAATTTATAACATTAGAAATGTAAACACATCATGTAAACAAAGATACCGCAAAAAGGTAAAGAAAGACAGGGAAGACAGCAAAGTCGTGATTAGTGACTGAATTGGCATAATAACAAATTAATTATTTCACTTAAAAATTATTGCTTTAATGATCGTATTGTCATACTAATCCTAATCCAAACTAATATTATAAATGCAAAAGTAGCTCTGTCTATCTGCTTAAACTACAGAACCGGTTTCTGTGAAATTTGGTACAGACATAGTTTAGAACTCGAGAAAGCCCAAAGGATAGTTTTTATACCAAAAATTTGCAATAGCTTACAATTCCACGCGAACGGAGTCACGGGAAAAAGCTAGTAATATTATAAATGTGAAAGTTTGTGAGAATGTACGGATGTATGTTTGTAATTCTTTCACCCAAAACGGCTGGACAGATTTGGTCGAAATTTGGTATTTAGATAGGTGACAGCATCAACATACCACGGGGGCGAAATCGCCGACGGAATTTAATAAAATTACGTCTTTATTAATAGAACAAGTTACAACAATTAGTATTAAACTTAAGATCAATGAAACAGTGTCCAAAAAATATCGAGGTATTAACTCACCAACATAAGGAGCAGTGGTAAACTCAATTCTACCAGGATCGACAAGTTCAGTGGTTGCTTTCGGAGGCGGTACCAATACGAGTGATGCCTCGTACCGACTACCTGGACGTAGGTCATGGAGCTCAGCCGTAGACCGACTGTGATGGAGGAGTTCCGTCATGCTGTAGATCGGAGTGCCCACTGGACGGTATCTGAGGAAAAATTATGAAAATATTATAATTCATCATCATCTGGACGCTATTTGAAACTCAAGCTCAAATTCTTTATTAGCTAGTTAAGGTGGTCCTAAATGAAATAACAGGCACAGCCTAACGGCCTTTTTCTGTCCTTTGCTGGACAGTCTTTTATATAATGTAACGGTCGATTAGTTTTTTATTTATATATTTAAATACTTTTTGCACAATTATTGCACAATGGCGGATTTCATGCCAAAGGCATCTTCTTCAAGCCTACCTTAGGGTGATACTGTTACTTTATTAGTGTAATAATTAATCTCACATTGTTAATGACCAATCTCAGTCCTGAAGATTGAGATTTTGTTTAAATATTATTTGTATTTTTTTACACGTAATGTCGAAAACGAAATAGTGCAAATTACTCGTTAACCTTTATAGTCATAAATGTCTATTCTGTTCTGTAATTTTTTTTAATGTCCGTCAGTCTGATCTTTCATGATATGTGCTCTTTCTAAGGTGTATATTTGAACAAACATACATTTATTATTTAAAAATCATTAATTACACTTTTGGTCTGAGCAGGTAAGAATGCCGGTTATGTAGCAATTTACAATAAAAAATATATTAAATCTTAAAATAACTTCGTACCTGACTTGTATAGCGTCTATGAACTGCAATTCATCTTCACCAAAACGTCTCCACGTGACATGAGCTACGGTGTCATTGACATCCACGATGGTCAGCCTACTGTCGATCTCACGACGTTTCTCTTCAACTGTTGGAGTCGCCTGAAAAATAACAAAAAAACAATATATTCGAGTGATTTGATTTCTATGGTTATTTAGATACCACTAACATACGGTGAAGGTAAACATCGTGAGGAAACTTGGACTTATAATTTCTAATTATAAGTTTGAAATCTCCAACCCGCAGTGAGCAAGCGTGATGATAAATGCTCAAACCTTCTCCGTGTGAGAAGAGGCCTTTGCTCAGCAGTGGGCACATAAAGGATAATGACAAGTGATTTTTAACATACATATTGAGGTCTTCCATAATTGTAACCAAAACTATCGGACATCTGATAAAAATTATATCGGAATCCGAAAAAACGTTTCGGATAATGTAATTAGACTGGGCCGGAAATTAATTGCTACACGTTGGTAAAACCATTTTATTAAGTTGTTGAAAATGTACTCCACTATCGCGGATCTAAAAGCATTCTTCTTTCAATTTCGTTCTTTTTAATTATTAAAATGAAACAACGGAGCTACACTTTGTGTAATCCACAGACTCATATTTTCGGGTCTGGCCGCGATGTGTATATGAACGTGTCTGTAAACGCAGCCACAACACAAAAGGAAATTCTCCCATAAAATGGAGCAACGTTCTTTCAATAAAACAAATAGATTAATCAAATATTCCTCCCGTTTTTTTTACACCATTCATTACTAACGCAATCAATATAAACCGACGCTAATTGAGCATTTGCTTTTAACAGTTTTTGTCGCCAGTCAGACTGACATGTAACACAATACTTACCGAAGGAGAGTCCAGAGTTCGGACTGTATAGATTTCACTTTCTGGCTCCACAGGAAGGTTGTGGAGGTACAGTTTTCCTCTGATCTTATACGTTGTACCTGGAGATAGACCAGTCAGTCTGAACTCTAAACGAGGAGTGGTCAGAATCTCGTCTGCTGGCGCGAACACTTGTGAGAACCAACGGGATATGTCTTCGTCACTGAAATTGAGAAAATAATCTAACTAATAAAATATTAAACATGGGAAAGTTACGATGTTTGGATATTTGTTACTTTATCACGCCAAAACGCAGTAGGCGTAGGATACACTCCGAACAGACATACTCTACTTTTAATCAACATTCCACGTGGGCAAAGCCGCGGGTGTAAGCTAGTTTCTCATAAAGGAGTATTTAAGAGATATATAATGAATATTAAGTACATATTTTTTATTTATTTAGGCTTCAATGTACAAATTTGAACAAAGAAGGTTACAAATTACGATATTTAAAATTAAATAGAAGTACTAGCTGGTCTACAAAATTGATATTAAAAATTGATCAGACTAATAAAACATGCTAAGCCTACACAGTAAGACACCAGATAATTATTAAATAAGTAACTAATTTCATGAACAACCTTGTTTTAAATTAAACAAGATTCATTAATATCTTGAAGAAAAAAATCGCAGAGCGTCGATGGAAATACTTACGCCTTATCTGTATATCTCAAATCGACACTGCCTCGCAATCCAACCAGTACAGCTGGTAGACCAAAGAGCATCTTCACACTTGTAGGAGAGTCCGCTTGCAGAGAAATAACAGTCAGTTTCTTGTTCATATCTCCATATCCTGGGGGCAGGGTCAGACCTGGTGGAAGGCCTTGCAAAGCAGGCTCCCCAGGACCCATAGGCCTGTGGATGTTGTTCTGGTCGTAGTCAGGAATGTTTTCGTCATGAGGGAAGTGGATCTCGGGAGGTATGGTCGGAAGGAACGACTGCTGTGATGGCCCATCCGTCGTCGAATGACCTGCAAATATTGGCCCACACGTTGATACAGATGAAATTATTAAATAACCGCACCAAAGAGACATTTTCGAAAGGAATCCTTTTTTAAATACGAATTGAATTTTCTTTTACACTTGATCAAATTGGCTTTTTGAAAGAATTCCATTTAATTTAAAAAACTATAAACGAACGTTCGAAACAAATGCTTGTTAACTAACAAAAGAATATCCTAATTTAAAATGTCTCTTTTTACACAAACACTAAACAAACTAGTATAGTTTACAAATAGTATTAGTGAATACAATAAGATGACGTTATGATTGACGAAACGATGTGTTAATCGCATAAAGAACATACTGTACATAAACAATACAACCAAAACAGTGTATTATAGTCATAATAAGTTTTTTTTATGGATCTGACGAATTGTTTCCTTGTCTGCCACAAGTTGAGAAATATACAGAAGATTGGAAATGTCAGTCAAAGTAGGAAAGTCAGTCGTTAATATATCGAACAACACACAACACCAAGGCGAGGCAACAAACCTGCCGGCTCTCCTGGATCTTTGTCAGCTGACCGTCCCAGGTTCTTATTCGCTACAGACTCCATATCCATCTGATTGAGCAAATGCTCAAAGTCCAGCGTCGTATACGATTTACTACCCATGTGTGTCGCCTTTGAGTTTTGAGTATATGTTGAGGCAACGTCAGGCTTAGAGTTTAGTACAGGTCTTAATAGCACAGTCTCGTAATGATTGGGTTCTTTAGTCAGCACATGATGTGCTTTGCTATCGTCCTCCCACAACACGTCATGGTACATTTCAGTCGGTTTTAGACTCTTCATATCCTTAGTTTTAAGTATCGTCACATGCTTCCTAAATGCCTGGTCTCGGGCATTCGTTTGGGGTAGGATCACGTGAGGAATGTGGTAGTCTACTGTGTTATTTGGCAAAACGGGTTCAAATAAATTCTGCACATGCATATCGTGCATAGTGTTAGCTTTTGCCTCCTTATGGCTCTTAGTGAATTCGGATAACGGTCGCCTGTCAAGCGAAGGTAAGAAGAAGTTAAGATTTTCTATTCTTGATATAGGGACTTTTCTGACTGGCTCGTAAATTGATTTTACTTGTGCCGTTTGGGAATCTACAGACTGATGAATAGGCCGTGGAGTAGGCGCAGGAGGCCTATGAAAGAATTCGTGCATTTTCATTTCTGGGGTAATAAAATTAATGTGCTGGTCACCATGTGATTGGTGAAAAGGTGGGAGTGTATTTCTATAAGGATCAGCCAATTTAGGAAGTTCTTGTTTTCGGTGCTGTAGCTCCCAATTGTCATGAGCACCGGTAAGAGGTGGCTCAGGATGAATAGTTTTGAATGGGGCATCGACATCATTGAGGGTGAATACTGTGATATTGTCTCCTTGATCAGGAGGTGAGGGCTTGGATTCTACTTCGGGTTGGTACTGAGGAACCGGTGTGACTGGGGAAGGGAAGACAGTTTTAAGATATTTTGGTAATGACTTCACATGGTTAAGGTGCCTGTAGAATTCTACAGCATCAGTAGTATGGGGAGGGGCAGGTATGACAGGAGCAGTTGATGGAACGTCAGGTGGAAGTGGCGTCACAAAGTTCATTATAGCACCGAGAACAGGCATCTTGAAAGTCTGAAAAGATGATCCATTCCCAGCTGCAAGTAATAATGTGCGGATGAGTGACATGCTCGTGATATTGTGAGATGAACAATGATGATTTGAATATGATCTTGAATTAAGCATTAATGATGAATGATGTTGTTGAATATGCATAAAGTTTTCGTGGCGTAGAAGCGGTATCAAAATATTTGTGGACAGTTCTTCGTAAGAATGCAGATTTCTATAGTCCTCCAAATGTTCTCCTTACCGGGGTGAGGTATACATCCCCAATGCTTGCAGCAATCCTCATCAGATATGTTGACGGGAGCTGGCCGATGGGAAGGAGGACAGCGCAGCGTCTGAGGAGGTACAGCGGGAAGGGGAGAGCAAACATCCTGGCAGTCCAGCTCCCCATTCTCACAGAAGCAACGCTGTTCACAACCAGTCAAACTTATTGGCACTTCACTCCAGTTGGGTACTCTGAAAATAAAAGCATTTATTTGAATAAGTTTTTAACATTTCCATTTTGTCTAACTTGGAGAGCAAAAGTAGTATTTATATATTAGATTTTCGAATTATTTGGGCATCTAGTTATTACAATAAAAATTATCACAATTAAATAGTTCTGGTAAACAAAACTGACCAGACTAATAAAAACGAATTCTAAAAAAAGCAATATTCAAAAAAACATATCAACAAAGGCTACTCACGCAACTCCTTTGTAATGGCAGGTTCCATCGCTTAAACATCTGGCGGTCCTAGGACAGCAGTTAGGTGGAGTGGCTGGTGGAGAAGGTGCCCAACGCACGCAGCCCTTGGAGACCAGCTCTAGGCCCACGTGGGATGGACACACAAGAGCTGCACACTCGTGGGTGTCTGGACCAGTGCATTCACACAGCTCCGAACAACCGATGTGGAATTCATCACCTGGGAAGATGGAGACATAAGTTTAGTTTTATTGTTTGACATTTTAGCTAAAAGTGTTAACTTTTTTCATTATTTTTCCATTCATATTCATTTTGTATATTTCATTTGATTTGTAGTCGATGTCTAATAAACGGCCTAGATTCTTTTTTCAAGGTTAAAATAAACTTCGAAGTATAGATTATTGTTAAGATTCATCGGTCGCCTCAAATTTGCGCTAGGTATATTTTTTACTAGACACTATTTGACCTTGAAAATTAATTTTTCTGTAATCTATGTACTCTTTCTGAAAAAATCAACTTTATTTAAAACATACAGAATGTCAAAGTAAAAATTATAAATTCTACAGTAGACTATGATATTACTGCGCTCACAAAAAATAGGTTTTTGTACCTAAGTAAAGTACGAAAAACGATACGGGTTACAAAACCTAGTCTGCTTTCATGAACGAGGATAAAAATAAACGTTTAGGAAAGATTGGGTATTTAATATTCAGTGAAGCATTCGTTGCTAACTTGTAATGAATTATTCATGATTGAACAGGATGCACAGCTGGCTATCAGTTACATAGTATTACCTGATTATTTTCTAAGCACTTTTGAATAATAAATTGACAATGGAAAATTCCAAATTCTAAGTAAGACACACTAATTAGGTGTTGTGTATACTTTTCTTGAAGAAAAAATTTTTTAACATTAAATACATCAAATCAAAAAATAGTAACAAAGCGATAGGCCCTTAATATAATTATGTATGTCTATCGCAGACAAAAACTGACATAAAATCGATATAGTTCCTTGAGTGTGAAAAATAGTTCATTAAGATCAGCTCTAAATAAAATTAATAATACTTAATATTCCTAGTAGCGATGCTATTTTTCTGCTCAGCAGATGGCACCAATATGTTGCCATATTCGTCCAATCACTATGGCTGTTAAGATTGTCCAAAAGTTTGACTTTACCTAATTCACCAACAATAGCCTAGGGTATAATACCCATTAAATTTAGATAGTAGACATTATTACTTATAACATAAATTTCTTTTAAAAAAAACTCACCAATAGCATAAAACTGTCCGTCATGGTAGCAGCCTTCTTTGGAGACATTGTGTATATCCTCATTGGGCACTTCGTTAAGTCCATTATCGGAAGCCGTAATGGTAAAATTGAACTTCGTTCCAGTTTCCTTAGTCTTCAGTATATAGTCTCTTCCACCTTCCAAATTCAGGATCAGGTTGGAATACTTTAATTCCACATCACTGAAGGACTTTCCGCCATCATTGCTTAGAAGAAGGTGTATAGGGTCTTCGCTGTGGTTCAAATGCATCAGGTTGACTTGGACGGAATTGTTCTGCAGAACTTTCACTGAGCCTATGGGTTCTGTGAGTATCAAAGGTCTTGTTTCAATGTTGTCAATCTGCTCGTCATACTCTTCGAAACCTTTGATCATCTGTGGAATGAAAATCACAGTATTTTTTACTTCGAGTTAAACCGTTACTATGAGGAACGGCTTTTCACGTTATCATAGCTTTAAGCTGTGCCGATTTCGTCTGGTCAAGGTCATTTGTTTGGCATTTTTTTCAATACAGCATTTAATTTGGAATGTAATTTAAAAATTCTTCGTCCCCTATTTCAAAATCTGCACCTTTAAACTAACATACAAATCTTGTACTATTACACAATTGGATGCCCAGGATGTGGAGTTTGAGTAACATCGCCATATGGCTTCGGTGCTTTGTGTAGCATGACCAGTGCCAAACAAATGCTTTTTCTTTCTTTCTGTCACTTACAGGTAGATGATGATGATGCTAACAAGGGTTCTTACCTCGGTAGTGGTAGTGGTAGTGGTACTAGTTGTGGTAGTGGTCGTTGTGGAAGTGGAAGTGGAATTCTCTGGTTCTTCGTGAACATCATGGCTGACGTCACAGACTTGTACTTCACAACACGCATCGTTCGGATCCTGAACGTTGATGCACTTGTCCGAAACAGGTAGGGCATTGCATCTGTTAAATAAATTAGAAACTGTTATTACTTCAATACTAATTGTTTGGATAATATTTTTTACAATATTAAATGTCATTTTACATAGATAAAAATAAGTAAATTTGATATGGTTCTTCTATTCTGCTATTCATTAAGTCCATGTGAGATGAGATGTAAGCAATTTCTTGCTTTTTGGTTAAGGCCTTGTACACGGCAAATATTTTCGGAAGTCCAAAATCATGGAAACTACGGAACTGATTTTAATGAAACTTGGTGTTCATACGCTACATATCAAGGCCTAAAAACTTAATAAATTATATTCTCAATACATTCTTTAATTGAGCGATATTACGCGATTCGTCGCATCGTATCTTACATTTTAACACTTTTTGTGAATAAATAATTTTGGTGAATGCAGTATAAAAAAGATCGATGTCTGCTGCGAATGAATTGGCTTATAAATTATAAAGTCAATAGCTACTAATTTTATTCGTGTTTTGACATTTTATTTATCATTTATTGGTATGCAAAAAATATTTTATCATTTATGGTTTCTTATTCATTTGTGGCCATGTCAATAGAATATAACAATCAAAGAAAAAGAGATATCAATATTTATTTTATTTTAAAATTAAAGTTCAGCACTAATCACCTGGGTTTGCAAGTCACAACGGAGTTTGGTTCACAAGTGCAGGTCTGCTCACAACCAATGTGCCAGGTAGAGCCGATCGCGTGCGTATCATTTCCATAACGACACACATCAATTTTGGCCATCTTTCCATTTTCTGTAAATAAAATAAAGATGTCATGGGTATTAGTATATCTAGGCAGCCTTTTTGAGCAGATAATATTATCCATTTGCTCCTCCTTCCCTGGGAGAAGCAAGAGAACTACTGACTTAAAACCGTCCAGTTACATCTAATGATACAAGCTGGGCTGCAGAATATCCTGGGCCTTAATGAAACTCATCTGGTGGTCTAATGGCATATTTTTTGTACATTAAGGTCGATATAAATAGTTTATTCACGATTCGAGTTCTTATTCGAAAATCTTTGTAATTCCATTTTGGAAAATGATCTAGCATCGATCGCAAAATATTAGCATTTAGCAAAATATTATATGGTAAAACTCTAACATTTATATTTACGTGTGGGAGACCCATACTTCGGCACGAATGGGTCGTCTCGACCGGAGTGATACCACGGCTTTACAGAAAACCGACGTGAAACAACCACAGCGTTGTGTTTCGCCGCCTCCCCCAATCCCTCCTCAATCCCTAAATCTCCAAATCCCTAATCCCTAAAAGGTCGGCAACGCACTCCTAACTCCTCCGTTGCGGGTGTCCATGGGCAGCACTGATTGCTTACCATCAGGTAATCCGTCGGCTCGTTTGCCGACCTATTACATAAAAAAAATCCAATATAGAACCTGGCATTGGGGACGTCAAAGACAAAGGGTCATAATTGCCAGCCTTATACGAAACTGACAAAGTATTTTGTTCTTTAAACATTACATCATAAGATAAAGTATACCTAAATACCATTTTTACCTCCGGTTCCAGTAGCACAGGCTATAATGGAACAGCATTCGTCGACAGGCGACTCGAAGCACAGAGGATCGTTTAATCTTCTACCGCGCCTTATATAGGGATGCTTGCAGCGCGGAGAGCAGTCAAAAATTCCACCAGTTATACATTCGCACGTTTCTTCACAACCACGATCCATTCGTTCACCAATCTGTTTAATGTGAAAAAGGAATACATTAACAATGCTACCAGATAATAAAACGAAGTTGAAACTAATGGAAGCGTATTTATTTTTAAATATGTATTTTAAAAGGTCAAAATCATTTTTAAATTAAAGTATTTGAGTATCTGAGCAATCACAAATCATGTGATACAACTGATTGACTTATAAAAACGTCTAAAGATCCAATTAGCACATAACAATCAATATTTCAATTGTATCAGTAGATTATTTGGGTAAAATAAAAACGTAACTAATAAAAAAAGTCTGCAAAGCACATTAAACTGCTCTAAAATTTCATTGACTTTAAACTTTGTTCCCAAAGAATAAGCTCTAAATTCCATTCACCACATTCGGTAGCATGATAAGCTTACTGGTTCTACACATGTTTGTTTAGACTTACCTTATAAATCATCTCATTTTCTTTACACGTATCCATCTCCTCCGACCCTCGTTCTGCCGTCATCAGCGGATGGAATGGAGCCTGTAGATTAGCATAGAACTTCTCAGGCATATCCTTATGCTTATGTTCTACTGGTATCATCCTCGGCTCATCATCGTCATCTACATCCAAATTAACATCACTAAGATCCGACAGATGTTTCTTCTGAGATTTCGCATTCGTTTCATTATGCAGTGCAATCGCAAAGTTTTGTAGTTCATCCACATTCAGGTTTAAAAGCCTTGGCCTTGGTTTAATTATTTCTTGGGTTGGTAGTATTGGATCCCCAACTTCTGATAGCGGTGTGGCTTCAGTTTCTTGTTCCATTCTTCTTTCTGATGTCGTTTCTATGTAAGATTCTGTTGTTGTAGTTGTCGTTGTCGTTGTTGGTGTGGTTGACTGGAATTGTTGGCTTGGAGCCTCTGTTGTTGTTTTTTGCTGCACTTGTGGTGGCTGTCTGTTACCTCTGACGTCATCTTCTTCTCCTGTTATTTTACCTGCAACAAGGGAATTTTTATTAGTATTGTCTTCCAATATGGGTTTTTTAGAGGCGTACGTAATTGAAGAACATGATGTTACTATATTACTATCTATATTATTGTTGTTTTATAAATAAACAATACTAATTTAATCACGAGTATTATATTATGTCCACTCATCAATGCTAATTAAGTATTTGGCAAGAAAGAGATAATTGAGGAAGACCAAATGAACAGTTACACGTCCGTAGTAATAATGGCTCGAAGAACTAATAACCAAAGGTTAATGTCATACAGGAAACGTTTTCCTCAGCAAAAACTGAACTTGTCTTCAAACTAGGGCAAGGTCAGTAGGCGACACCGGTCATGGACCATTAGACTCGCCCATTATTCTACAAGCAATTATAAACCGTGATACACTGCTTTAAAGTCTACAACTAGACGAAGAGTATTAAAATCGGTACCAAAGCAAACGACCTGTCGATCGAAATCAATGTAACTGTCAACGAATATCGATTACGATAATGGTGCTCCGAAAATATGGCAAGGTATTCTGAACTTAAACATTGTAGAAATAAGAGCTGATTCTTCAATAGTCAAGTATAGCGTCTCAAATATGTACCAAGGTAAAATGGACCTTTAGCTGAATAGATTTAAGAATGTAATTTGGTCTTTGTCTTTACCAAGAAAATACGCGATGAATTTAGGACGAATGAACTTGAGACAATTTTATTGTTGATCGTGAGAAAGTTGGTCGTGGATATCAAAACAAATGATTGTTTCTGTTCTTAAAACAAAATAAAGGAGGATCGTGTGTCCTAATTGCAAGGCATACTTGACCTTGAGTTCTCACGTTTAGAGTTCATTGTTCTAGTGAGAAATGTAATGGATCATTTGTGTTTAGTATTATTATTTTAATAAGCGGTTTTTTGTTTTTTGTACGTATTTTATATGTTATTTAAGTATTCGTGTGAAATGAAAACCGTTATGTCTTAAACCGTTGTGTAAAACTGGCAAACAAACAGAAGGATTACCAGATGGTAAGCAATCGGTGCCGCCTATGGACACCCGCAACACTGGAGGAGTTACGAGTGCGTTGTCAGTATTTTGGGTATGAAGATTTTAGCGATTAAAAGAATTGAGGAAGGGGAAGGATTGAGCCTTCGCTAACCTCACTCACGCGACGAAACACAACGCTGTGGTTGTTTCACGACGGTTTTTTTCTAAAACTGTTGCCTCACTCCGGTCGAGCCGAAATTTGGCTCTCCCACACTTAAAACTATACTAGAAATATTTTTATACAAAGATATATACACTATTGATTAAATTTTATAATGTAACCAGTATTTATCGATTGTGAAGCTGATTTGAAAAAGAGTAACCATAGTTCGATGTTCGTTCTTCACCATTAAAGCTCTTTAGAACGACTCGCAGAGTAGGTAGACACTAGAGAGACTCTTACTTACTAAAACAGAGAAGGAGACGGAACGAAATGGTTTGTTCTCTCTCCTGCTCTGAGAATGGTCCGCAGGTCACAAACATTATTATGCTTGTACCCTCAAACCCAAGCTTCAACTAAAGAAGTCTTCTACATATTATATAGGCAACTAGATGACAAATGTGAACTCTTTTATATGTATACTAATATTATAAAGACGTAAAATTTTTAAGTTTCTATGTTTGTAAGTTTGTATGTAGGGGATAATCTTTGGAACCGCTGATCGGATTTCCTAAATCTTTTCACTGATAGATAGATAGCTACAATGTTCCCGAGTGCTATAGGCTATAAAACATCACGCTACGATTAAATAGAGCAGCGGGTGAAACCGCGCGAGAGTAGCTAATACCAGATAAAATTTTAAGTTGACATACATTAATAATATTTGTATGGTAATGTACGTCTGTGCACCTGCGGGCAACATTAGCATATTGTATGGCACAACTTCTACACACATATGATATATAAGTACGTATATGTCGATCATTCATGCAACACTCATTATGCTAGTCTGAGTATACCTATATATGTTTCAACTCATAATGATTTTAAAATAAGTTTTTGCAAACACTTCTTGGAAAAAAGTCTATGTAGATTTTGTTAGTGGAGATTTTCCTACCCTACCCATTTCCTAGTTAAGGGATTTAGGAGAGCTGGAAAACCATTCCTGAAATCTGAATAACTAATTACCATACAAAACGTACAGCAATAATGGAGTAGTTTCCTTCCAGAACCGAGCGTACGGCGCGTAGCGTTCCGCGCGCGCCTCAAAGAGCCAATAGACCACCACAGACGGGGCCCTAAAGGGCTGATGTTCAGCCGGGGTTGCCGGGTAAGCGCAACTGCGATCTCGGCCCAGAGCAGAAAAAGGAAAGGGGGGTTTTCAGTCAGTAAGAGTCCGAGACTCCGTCCCGCCCTATCCTGGGCGGGAGATGCCATTTGATGATTTTCCCCTCACAAAAAAAAAGTTTCCTTCGCTTTCCATAATGGTTATTTTTTCTTTCTCTTCTAGTTTTCTCGGTCAAAATATTTCGAGGTTTCAATACAATAAAATATTGAAGAAAAAAAATACTTTTATTCATCGATCCGTCGAAAGACTAAATTTTCGATACTATTTAGGTAATTATTAAAAAATAAGTAAGTTATCTGACGCAAAAATACTAGGACGTCATAATTTAACACTAATTAAATTATTCATCAATAATAATTCAATTATTAATCAGCAGCAAATTTCCATCCAGATACCAATTGGAAACTGACTAGGCAAATACACATCATTGAAGTTGATCCTACAAGAAATCCGAGGATCTTTTCCGGCCAAACCTGTGACCATTCGATTTGTAATCGATAAAATTAATCGATCAATCGACAATCACGATTAAAAATCGATACGGTGGGGATACCCTTAAGTCTGTAAGTGAATGATGGCCTCAGATCGACCTCAGTTGGATGTAGGTTAGCTAAAGGACGCGAATGTGCAGGTGGACCGGTTGTCTGCGCGTGCGCCTGACACGAACCCGTCCACTGAACGTTGTTTACGTTCTAAAGCTGTAGTATGCTAATTTTGAATTGAATTAATAAATTTTATGATGCTATATTGGGGCAAATTGTATTTAGTAAACTGTATGTTTAGGTGTAACCTTAATATTGCAACTATCATTTCTACGTTGATGAGAGTAAGAGGTGTTTTTTTTTACATTTAATGTTGATGTTCGAATTTTTTTTAAAGTTTAACGAAAGAGTTTCTTATTCGTTTAATCTTCTCCATTCGAATCTTCAATTTGGAACGAACCTAGTTCACTATTCTATTTTTAAGTTTCAGTGTGTATTTATGGTTTAGTTGGATAAATGATTTTGACTTTAACGTGTTTGATGGCCTATTTACAAAAATAAACTCTTTGCTTTATTGATATGGGAATGTGTGTGTTAGAAAACTTTTTTTTGGTGCCAAAATCATCATCATCCCTCATTTTAGGAAGCTAGTGTCAGATTCTTGCCGAGTTTTAAACTTTTTTGACGTTATATAATTTTTATACTTTAGCAATTGTTAATAGTAGTATAATATTTCTACATAATATATCTGTATATTTTTATAAACCCGTTTTCAATATTAGCACAGCTGTTGAAGAATTCGAACAAGTTTTAAACAGAAAAATCAATTTAGTCACACTTAATACATAATAATAATATATATCATCAATACTCTCGTTTGAAGACTTCGTTCCTTTTTTATAAAATTCTCATAGATCCCAGAATTATGCTAAGGATATAAGTTTAATTTATACAATTGATTGCTTCGACATCAATCCAAACTAATATTATAAATGCGAAAGTAGCTCTGTTCGTCTGTCTTTTCTTCATGCCTAAACTACCGAACCGATTTCTCTGAAATTTGGTACAGACAAAGTTTGGAACTCAAGAAAGGACATAGGATAGTTTTTAAACCAAAAATCTGCAGGAAGTCACTATTCCACGCGAACAAAATCGCGGGCAAACGCTAGTAGTACCGATAAATCAAACACAGTAAACTTTGAAGTTCTCACTTCGTCAACAAATTAACTTAAAAACACACCGTTACATTCTTAATAATCTCTTGAACTTGTACCGAAAAAAGCATGGCGAACGGTTAACAAGAAAGTGGGCCAGACGATCGACCATTGAAAATGCACCTCGCGAAATTCCAGTGACTAAGTATTCAGTCGCAAGAGTTGCGTAAATCGCGACAAGCATCCGTCTTTGTAAGGGCGACGACTCACTGATGCGACGCGGCGGTATTACGCGAAAACGCGCGGCAATGTCACGAACACCGCGCCTTGCTTACTAATACCATTGCTAAGATCTGCATCATCGAATATGTATTAGTCTATAATATATTCGGTGAAGAGTTCAACATTCTTATTGCTTCGCTTTTTATTACGTATACCGTTTTTGCTGTACTTTTCAAGGTTATATATTTGTAATTAAATAAGTACATATGTTTGTGTCGAGATAAGAATCGATTGTTATAAGGTGAAGGATCCACTCACGATTTCATTGCATGATGTACATATAAACGGAGGGCATCATTTGTCACGAAGTCTTGGTTCAACCAAGTGTTAATCGTAAAATACTTAGGTACTTATTTAATATTGAAAACGTGTATCATTAATATCAAGTTATTGGTTCTGTTTAAATGTAGTTAATTAAGTTTGTATTCATGAAGCGTTATAAAATATCTTATTAAACACTTTAAGATGCTAGATTCGTTATTTGATTGTTAATGTTTTTTCATTAAGTTTTAACTTATACGGATAAGCGTTAAAACGAAATGAGATAAAAATGTCTTTAAGTAGGTACTTATATATTTGGTAAGTATACAAACAAAAAAAAATCATTACTGTCGTCTTTATAATTTGGAATGTAGCACAAACATAACACGAGATTATCGCGCGTTTTTTTTTAATCAGAATAATAAAATAATAACGCGCGACAATCAACCTTGCACTAATGTGATTAAACCCTAAATCGCACGCGTTGTAGC